CCAAGGAAACGGGTTGATTGGGAACTATACAAGTCGCTCCTTAGAGAGTTCCCCAATATCCCGATCGTAGATGATGAGAACAGTATAGATGCTGCTCAAGCGGAGTGGACAAGTTCCGTTCAGCAAGCTCTGCAGCGTGCAGCTGTACTATCAGTACAACAACACGGCAGATCTTTTCTCCCTGCAGATATTCGTCAGAAAATTTCTGACAAGAGCTGCAATTAAGCAAGCGAAGAGGTCTTGTCATCCAGATGACATTCGCAGAGCGACGAGTCTTGTTCATGAAGTAAGAAATGCTCTTCATGAACTCCGTAATGAGTAATGGAGCGACTTTCTGTCGGTGATGCTTGAGTCAAGTATTCCTCTCTGGAAAGTTGCAAAGTCGCTCAGAAGCGGAAAGCGAGAACAACTCCCGCACATCCACTGTCCTGGGGGCATAGTCTGTAGCACAGAGGAAAAGGTCGAGGTCTGATGCAATGGAAAGTCAGTTCTCTCCCAACTATAACCTTGATAATGACCTCGACGAGGAGGAACATATTGTAAGATCCGTCAGGAGATATTTTAGGGCCAACGGCGTCAGTGGCAGTAGCGCCTCCCTTAGTGATTTTTCCTCAGAGGAGCCTTCAGCAGATTCCTCAACTGAAGAGCTGCATGACACATCAGCGGAACCTCCTGAGATTCCGCAATGGACACTAGCAGAGCTTCAAGGTCATATTAAAGACCTCAAGGTGCGTAAAGCACCTGGAGAGGATCGAATCACTAATAAGGCGCTGAACCTGCTTTCGGGAAGTCCTTAACTTATCTCGTGGCAATAATCAATGCCATGCTAAAGACCCAGCACTTTCTAGCGGCATGGAAGACCGCTGATGTTATAATGATTCCAAACAAGGTGGGTTTGATATTCCCCAGGATTACCGCCCCATTAGTCTACTGTTAGCTCCTTCTAAGCTCGCTGAAAAGGTGATTCTACTTCACCTTGAAAATTTCTCGTCAGACCACAATGTGATTCCTGCAATTTGGCTTTCGGTCTGAGCATAGTACGGAGTTACAGGCGGTTAGGTTTGTTGAACGAGTAACTAGGGGGTTCACCCACAATGAAAGTACTGGCTACTTGCTTCTGGATGTGTCAAAGGCATTTGACAACGTGTGGCACAAGGGCCTCCTCTACAAATTGATCCATAAGGGCTTCCCCTTTTGGCTCCTGAAACTCCCTTGAGGGTAGGAAATTTCGGATCAAAATTGATAACGTTCTGTCGACAACAAGGCCCTTCAAAGCCGGTGTCCCTCAGGGTTCGGTTCTGGACCAGTCCTTTATCCACTTTTTATTCATGACGTCCCTTGCCCCAAGCAACTGTGAAATCTATCTCTATGCTGCTGGCCCAGTCGTTTTCTGAGAATCTAGTTCACGACAGGCTGCAAAGTGGAATGGACGAGGTATTGGAATGGGCGAATCGGTGGATGATCAAAATTAATCATTAGAAAACGCAGGCTATCTACTGTACTAAAAAACGTAGCAACGCCCAGTCTGAGGTTTCAGTGGATGGAGCTCGGGTACCATGGGAAATTTCTGCTAAGTATCTCGGTGTCAATCTTGACAAGGGAATGACCTGGCAGCACACTGAAGCGTTAAAAACTAAATTCCAAATCTCGTTTCGGCAACTCTACCCTATGCTAAGTAGAACATCAAAATTACGTGTGATCAAGAAAGTTCGGCGATACAAGATGGTTATTAGACCATCAATCGCTTACGCAAGTGCGGCTTGGTGTTTTCTCGTCAAAACGCATTTGCGCAGCCTGCAGGTTTTTCAAAACATTCTTGCGTACAATCCCTAACGCGCCATGGTATGTCTCCAATGAGACATCAAACAACAAGCGCAGCTACGTTCTAGTCAAGCGGAATGACATAGCAACACTTTGTTGCGCGAGTCAGTAGATTATACAGTCGAGCAAGTGCGCAAGCACACAAGGCCGCGACACGCTCTGTTAAATTAAATTAAATCGTGCCACTTTAGGTCCAACCAAAATTATAATTTTTCTTCAACAACCAATCTCTAAACTAAGTTTAGGATCAGTTTAAAATTGCCGAATACTCATTAGCAATGCCAATGCACCCCTCAAATTGATGCACTTCTTTTTTCTTTGCTCTCCCTCCTTCCTTCCTTTCTTTGTTCTTCCCTTCTTTCTCCCCGACTTTGTCTGGTATCTGGCCAACTAGATCTGACAGACCTACTGACTTACAAGACTTTAGCCAATAGCAAAGGTCCTACGGACCGCTCTGACAGACAATGTCGAATAGAAGGTCACATCATAAGAAATAAAATTCGTGTATTTTATAGGAGCTCCCGTTCCCAGTCCAAATTTGGAATACTACAATTTCTGGGGAGGAGGCAGGGGGTGGAAAATAACAGTAACAATTTCCAACATAGTAAATGAATATATTATATTTCAAATTTAGTTTAGTATCTTTCAAGCTCAAGCGCAAGTTCATATTTTTTTGGTATTACAATGTTAGGATGTTAGATTTATCGTAGAATACAAACATGGTTATGATTGGTACAGTTGATAGAAAATTATGAACAGTGTTTCTAATACCTTTTACCGATGAAACATCATTCTACTAATACAAGGCAAATTATACAAGGTGTCCCGTATCGTTATGTTCAAATTTTTGGAGCGGAAAGTACACTTCTTTTCAAGGGCAAAAAAACGCAAAACTTGTATATCCATTTTCATTTATTGCAAAGTTACACGCCCATGAATATTATTTGAAGATATGTAATACTAAAAATAAATTCGTAAAGTAAATAAAAAATTATTTTATTTAAAAAAAGGTCAATTGATAATACTTTCAAAATGTCCACTTCCTTGTGGAATGGAGGCTTGCGCCCGTAAGCCAACAGATAACGTAGTTATCCGTATTTGGCACGTGTTTTGTCGTGCCTGCTGAATACGTGCCAATAACCGTTCTCTTGTATTTGAAACTCGCGCATAGACTAAAGCTCTCATGTACCCCCATAAATAAAAATCAGGAGGATTGTGACAGGTCTGTCTTAATATCCAGGTCAAATATACTGGACGAGCATAGTGATCCGCCTCAAGCAAACCTTGTCCCCTACGATAATGATACGGATGTAAGCATTCACGTTTTTAAATTCACCAAACAGTTATTTGCGGTACTCAGACTTGTCTACCGGTTCGACCTACACTGATAGTTGGATCCCTTACAACAGTATCTAATACTTGTTGAACCAAGTCTGCTGGCAAGTTCAGTTCCCGATCGAAGATAATCACGCAGTCCGCATTCCCGAAATTGTCTGTGTACTTCCATAAATGTTCTGTAATGAGGAATGCGTCTATTTGCAAACCGATGTCGATATTCGATAACTGCTTGAAGAGCACTGCCGTTACAGTAGCCATTCGCAAAGTGCATGTTTGCGTACTGTTCAGAAGAAAATCGGTAGGGCATTTTGATAAAGAAAACGTCACTCACTAAGAAGCTGGGGCTGCACTTAACCTTGATCGCTTGTATGTCATTAATTCTTAGTTGCTGTTTTGTCGGCTGATTGATTCGTATGATTGACGAGCAAGTCATACGCGGACGCATCAAGAGATGAAAAAACGCAAATCTTGTATATCCATTTTCATTTATTGCAAAGTTACACGCCCATGAATATTATTTGAAGAAATGTAATACTAAAAATAAATTCGTAAAGTAAATAAAAAATTATTTTATTTAAAAAAAGGTCAATTGATAATACTTTCAAAATGTCCACTTCCTTGTGGAATGGAGGCTTGCGCCCGTAAGCCAACAGATAACGTAGTTATCCGTATTTGGCACGTGTTTTGTCGTGCCTGCTGAATACGTGCCAATAACCGTTCCCTTGTATTTGAAACTTGCGCATAGACTAAAGCTCTCATGTACCCCCATAAATAAAAATCAAGGGGATTGTGACAGGTCTGTCTTAATATCCAGGTCAAATACACTAGACGAGCATAGTGATCCGCCTCAAGCAAACCTTGTCCCCTACGATAATGATACGGATGTAAGCATTCACGTTTTTAAATTCACCAAGCAGTTATTTGCGGTACTCAGACTTGTCTACCGGTTCGACCTACACTGATAGTTGGATCCCTTACAACAGTATCTAATACTTGTTGAACCAAGTCTGCTGGCAAGTTCAGTTCCCGATCGAAGATAATCACGCGGTCCGCATTCCCGAAATTGTCTGTGTACTTCCATAAATGTTCTGTAATGAGGAATGCGTCTATTTGCAAACCGATGTCGATATTCGATAACTGCTTGAAGAGCACTGCCGTTACAGTAGCCATTCGCAAAGTGCATGTTTGCGTACTGTTCAGAAGAAAATCGGTAGGGCATTTTGATAAAGAAAACGTCACTCACTAAAAAGCTGGGGCTGCACTTAACCTTGATGGCTTGTATGTCATTAATTCTTAGTTGCTGTTTTGTCGGCTGATTGATTCGTATGATTGCGATTACTAATGACATGCTCGCAAAGATATGTTCCGAGAACAACTGCCTTGTTTATCATAAAACAGTTGCGTTTTTATTTTGATCTCCGACCAAAAAAAAAGTAGTTTTATGTGATTTTTAGTAGTTTTTATTTACTTTGCGGCTTTATTTATTATCTTCAAATAAAATTCATGGGCGTGTAACTTTGAAATAAATAAGAATGGATATATGAGTTTTGCGTTTTTGTTACTTGAAAAGAAGGGTACTTTACGCTCCCAAAAATTGAACATAACGATACGGGACGGTCACCTTGTATATTATTCATGTTATTTTTAAGGATTACCTAAGAAAATATTTTATATGTTTCACTTTTCTATCAACGTAATTTTTTTATGAAAAGCACACAACCAGTCACCTGAATATCTCCATTTTGCAGATTATCAGTTTCAAGCCCTTCTAAGATGTCTACCAATTTTTTTTCACTATCTTTCAAATCATTCAACAGCTTCTCGGTATGTTCGTCGTCATTCTAAATTAACAAAATACATATACGAACGTAAATATAATCAAGCAAATTTAGTTGAACTTCATTTTGAGCAAATAATGTGCAACAAGTCCAAAGCAACTGGTAATCAGAGCTTATATAAAAAAAATATTCCTTTTCTTCACATAACTTGAAAGATTTTAGATTGTTAAGTATCGTGTTGAAAAAACGTGAATTTAACATTAAACTCTGCTTTCAAAATACGATGAAAAATTACTGGATCTTAACAAAATAAAGGCTTCATTGATGGATTATACCGCAAAATAGATTCAAAAACTTCACAAATAACAATCAAAAACATTTACTCCAGGCGGATCTCAACTAAAAAGCCTCGTAGGTATACATTTTCTGAAGTAGCTCAGGTTTCTACTGGATGTTTCAGGACAACGTGTGTAACATGAATAACGATATGCGCTAGACTTTCTAGAGACGGAAATTTGTTAAAAGAGTAGAATTAAAAAAAACAACAATTTTTTATGAATCTTTCCTCACGTTTATTTAAGGATTTAAAGAGTTTTTCGAACAAAATTGCTAATAGCACAGCAAATCCATGAACAGTTTTCTTTAAAAAGTCAAAGTAATAAACTGTCCATGCGTGGTAGGACCACCCTGTAGAGCTACCTTAATAATTTTATAATTCTTGATCATAAAAATTGATTTCTGGAGCCTAATAGAATGTGGTAAAGGTTGGTAGATCATTGGAAGAATATGTTTTGAAAGGGCAAACCTTGCAGAATATCGAGCAAAAAACATGTTTTTGTATCAACCAGAGAAATACTCCAAACTGGAATTTTATATATATATATATATATACATACATATATATATATATATAACTTGAGACGTGGTCATTGTCGTCTAAACCATATATATATATATATATACAGGGTGACTTTGAAGTTGAGTCATTAATTTTCAGATAATGATTGTAGAAGGAAGATAAACCAGAATATGTGTGTAAAAATAAAAAAAAAATTAAAAAAAATGTTTACCTTGTTTTATAAAGTATCCTCCCGACAAGTATTTCAGTGCGGACCTGTATTTGATCGTGAGGTCCCCTGTGAGGTCTTAAGTCACCTGATTCACGAGCCCGTTGTACTACATTAACAAAGGCACGAGGGGTTGGTTGCACTCGATTGGGAAACCGATCCGCATAAACATGTGCCATTTTTTATTTCGTTTGAGCCACACAACAGACACTATTCACATGCTAACCGACAGACACTGACTGTATGTATAACTGAACTGAATAAAATACTTAATTGTAAAAACATCGTTCCAAATTCTTTCGCTTTTTTGTTTCCGATGCGATGAACCGGTAAGGCGGATTATATCCGTTGTTGCCAAACACGAGTACATGATATTATTATTGAGACAGGGCGGTACTCAAACTTCCAAAGGGCTATAACTTTGTTACTTTAATTTTAACAGAAAAATGGTAAAGGAAAAAAACATTTCTTTTGATCAGATCTACTCACTGTTAAAATAAATGACTCAACTTCGAAGTCACCCTGTATATATAACAATAATATATATATATATACAGGGTGACTTCGAAGTTGAGTCATTTATTTTAACAGTGAGTAGATCTGATCAAAAGAAATGTTTTTTCCTTTACCATTTTTCTGGTAAAATTAAAGTAACAAAGTTATAGCCCTTTGGAAGTTTGAGTACTGCCCTGTCTCAATAATAATATGTTCGTGTTTGGCGACAACGGATATAATCCGCCTGACCGGTTCATCGCATCGGAAACAAAAAAGCGAAAGAATTTGAAACGTTTATCACGATGTTTTTCGTCAGTCGATAACGCGTTAGTGAATAGTAGTGTTTGTTGCGTGGCTCAAACGAAATCAAAAATGGCACATGTTTACGAAAATGCTGAACTTGTGGACATGATTCTTATTTACGGGGGGGCAGTCTTTACAAAATGCTCCCGGATGCATCACGGATTTATGCGAATCGGTTTCCCAATCGAGTGCAACCAACCCCTCGTGCCTTTGTTAATGTAGTACAAAGGGCTCGTGAATCAGGTGACTTAAGACCTTACAGGTCAGGGCATGCTGCTCCAAGACCGCACGATCAAATACAGGTCCGCACTGAAATACTTGTCTGGACGATACTTTATTAAACAAGGTAACATTTTTTTTTATTTATTTTTTTATTTTTACACACATATTTTGGTTTATCTTCCTTCTACAATCATTATCTGAAAATTAATGACTCAACTTCAAAGTCACCCTGTATATATATATAACAAAAATAGGGAAATAATGGGCAAAATCCGCAAAAAGTGGATTCGAGCAGAAAACAGGATAGGTAACTCGAGCGATACGTATTTCTCCTGCTACGTACAACAATATCTTAATGGTAGACAGGTACATGAAGCCTATGGCATCAGGCAGATTCCTGAATTTCAGATCCTACCACAAACTTAAGCTAAAGATGAATCTGGTGAAACAAATGAAAACAAGGGTCACTAGCATTTCTGACAGTTCTTTCCATCTTTCAAACTTACGCAAACTCTCAACACTCTTCACGAATAATGGTTATCCAAAATACCTGACTAACAGAATCTTGTTCAGCTCTCCCAGTGCTATACCACTTTCACAGAACAATGATAACAACAATCCCAACCTCTCCAGCAATAACAATGATAATCCTCCTAATAATACAGATGTTTCATCTATGTTTCCAGAATTAGTTTTGCAATACTGCCATAGATTAAAGATCTAACACCAGAACTTTCTAGATTGTGCAACACTTTAAATTGCTGCATTGCTTACAAATCCTCACTCACAATCAACAATGTTTTCTCCAAAATAAAAGATAGAGTTCCTCTGCTGGGCCTATCCAACATTGTCTACTCCATCAATTGCAATAGCTGCAATCTCACATACATAGGTCAAACTTCAAGGTCCCTTAAAAGTAGAATAACCTCACATAAAAGTGATGCCCGACTGCATCCAGAAAGATGTGCTCTAGCTTCACACGTCAAGTCCACAGGGCATCAAATGAGGTACAGTGATATCAAGGTGCTTGACAGAGAAAATTATCTACCAAAACGCCTGTTTCTGGAAATGTCACATATCTTCATGACAGACAATTGCATGAACGAAAAAGCTGATGTCAATCAACTTAGCGTCGTCTATGCATATTTGCTGAACTACGAAACATTGGAAAAGCAACATATCTCCCCTAACATCGACCTCTCCCAATAATCGCTCAAACTACATAATAAAAATTCTTCACTATCTTAATAAAATCAAAATCAAAATTACTCTAAGTCTTTTGTCCTCAAGTGTGAATATTCCTTACAGATTTCCTAGTTGTTTGGTATAATGACCTTCCAATAACTTCAATGTCACACTTCATACGCCACTGCAGAATGTCAGTCGGCCGGCACGTGTTGGATAATGTGGTTATCAGTGGAAAAAAGTGAAATCTCGAAGGAATTTTTCAATAGTTGATGGTTTTCAAATTTCTTCCAAAATCAATCAGCGGTTAAGTAAAAAACCTTTTCAAAAATAAAAAAAAACAGCTATGCCATTTAATAATAAAATAATTCCGTCCTAATGGAACCTCATCAGTCCAGTTTTTTATTCGTCGACTATGTGTTCCCTTCACTGTTGTTTAAAAACAATTTCAGCAACAATCTCGCCGACTTAGTAAGTAACTATTTTTCCTCCTAATTGTTAATTGTTGCTATTGTCAATAATTGTTTTCAGCTCCAGACGATGAAGACATATATCTTAGAAAGCTCGGGTTTAAGTTATAAGAGTGTACTTTTGCAATACTTTGTCTTCCACCCAAATAAATTCAAGGATATTTCCTCCTAACAGTTAAGGCAATTAACTATGAATCATATATATATATATATATAGAGAGAGAGAGAGAAAATGATCATGCGGAGAAAGGTATACAGGGTGTTTCAGTTTATTGTTGCATAACTTTAAGATTCGATAGAACTTTTAAAATTAATGCATAAAGTCTATATAATCATGGGTCGAAAAATGCGTGGCTTCCGAAATACAGGGTGTTTAAATTTACTTTCTAAAATAGTTTTTTTTAAATATTTCGAACAATATTTGATGTACAGTTGTATTCATAAAAAAGCGTACACGAATTAGAATGAGAGGAAACCTTAACCTTATTTGCGTAAAACCGGCTTATCGCATGTTAAAGGTTATTAAAAATGCAAAGCATGTGCGTCGGGCATTAGTTCAATACAGTAACAAAAATGTATTTCTTTATTTTACATCTTAACAGTTTTATAAAAATTACAATAGAAACAAAAAACGATTAACAAGAATAAATAAAATCTAATATTTGGTCATATATCCCTGTTTTTCTATTACTTGAGCCAGTCTATTCGGAATTGACTGAATTATATTTGATACAATATTTGGATCAAGCTCTTCCCAGCACGTATGTATTATTTCCCATAAATCTTCTAAATTTTGTGGCCTAAAATTTCGATTATATATTTTTTTTACGATTATACCCCAAATATTTTCGATTGGATTGATATCGGGACTATAAGCGACCCAAGGCAGCACTTCCACATTATGGGTTTGAAACCAGTGGGTTACAGCATTGGCCGTATGAACTGGACAATTATCTTGTTGAAATATGAACGTATTATTGGGATATATTTATTTGCTCAGCACTTGGTAACAATATGTTTTCTAAAATGTTAATGTAATTTCCGGCATTAAATCTTCCCTCTATTCGCCAGCAAACACCAGGTCCATGAACACTTATCCAGCCCCATACATTTACAGAGAAACGCCCAGGTCTAGAATTGAGGGGGTTAGTATATCGCTCTTCAAACCTGGTATTGTTTGGATGGTAAACACGAATTTGGCCGTTATAAGTCGACTGGAACGTCTTTTCATCAGTAAAAATGACCCTGTTCCAAAATTGGGGATTGCGGTATATATAATTTAAAGCAAAAATAATCCTTGATTGTCGCCGTTCTTCGTTAA